GGGGCATGGCGGGCTCAGCGGTGATATCGCATTTCGCTTTTCCCGCCGCAGCCGAGGAGAAGAGGAGGGGGAAACATCCCCCATTCTAATTGCGTTCTATTCTCCGCGGGTCGCTGAGTGAAGGGGCGCTACCGCCGAGGAGGCTGCCGCGCTCCCGCCGTGCTCTACCGCCGCGCTCCCGCCGCACTCCCGCCGCACTCCCGCCGCGCTCCCGCCGCGCTCCCGCCACGCTCCCGCCGCGCTACCACCGTGCTCCCGCCGTGCTCTACAGCCGCGCGACCACCGCCATGGCCGCGGAGAAGCTTTTCTTCTCCTGCTCCACGAGAAAACCGGTGGAAAGCCCCCGTCCCCTCTCCTCCCACTCCTCACCTCCCCTACGCCGCCAGCACGCCACTCGAGTTCCGACCGCTTCTCCTCCTCCTCAGAGTAACAATCATTTGCGAAGGAGAGCGCAGCGCGCCCCGACGCGGCCTCCGCATTGTGTTCAGGCCGAAAGAAAAGAGTCTTAGCGTTTGAGAGGTTTCGTGTTAATTTCTCGAGGGGCGCGAATACGGAATGAAGGAAAGGGGGGGGGGCAGGGCCTGGAGGGAATCAAGGGAGTGCAAATGACGGAGAGCACCCCGTGATTGGGGAATGTAAAGTTTCCGACAGCGGAAGCTCGCGGTGGTCGCGCGCTGTTTCGGACGAAAACATTAGAATATTGCAATATGTATTGTGATATCGTATCGGCCCCATCGGTTGGCAAATAACTCCTTACAAAAGGTGTTCTGTTTTTGATAAAACTTAATAAACTGCACAAGACTCAGCACAAGATGGACGCTCCACTGTTAGAAAAAATTCTGTGATTCCCTGTGAAAAATAGTCGTAAGTTTACGGGAAAATTTTCCATGATGTGAGTTCGTAAAATTACAATTTGAAAATGTAAAATTACAATAACTTCGTATCGACTTGGAATTGACCAAGGAGCAAAACTGGCCTGTCGTAAATTTACAACATTATTTTGTAATTCCCAATTACAAAAAATGTCGTAACTTTACGAGGAAATTTTTCACGGTGTTCCACGGAGGAACACTCGTGAAAAATATTTCTAAAGTCCTTTGAGATTTCCCAAAGGACTCCCGCAGATTTCACGTGTCCAGTTGAGCTTCGAAACATACAGGCGACTAACTCTCTACCTTCAATGACGGCTTTACGACATGAAAACTAAAATCGGAGTCCTCTGGAAATTTCTAGTAGTGGTTGATAGTGAATCTTCGGAAAATCCCATAAGATATTTTTAACAGTGCAGATCTGCAAGCATATTTGGCGAAACGAAAAACCGCGACGTGTACGTAATGAAATAAATGTAAATGAAGTTTTACTTTCTTTAACTTGTTCAAAGATGACAAGGGAATTCACAAAACTTTGCAAAACGAATTTCTCTGCAAAATTTAGGTGGCTTTCTCGATTTTGGATGTCATCTTCAGATTCTTTGGCAATTTCCTTTGCCATTTCTATTCTACGCAAGTGGTCCTGCCCGCCCGCAGCCGGAGGCCGGAGCAGCGCAGCCTCTCCGCTCCACGGCAGGCTGGCAGGCGCCGGGTGGGCCGCCGCCGGACACGGGTGCGCGCTGGTTGCCTACCCTCCGCTCTGCAGGCGCTCTGCGTGGACCGCCTGCCTCCCTGCTGCCGGCGGTGCAGGGCTGCTCCTCAAGCTGGGCCGCGCCTTGTGTGCTGAACTCGAAGTGGGCGTAGTCTGCTGGCGCACATTCTTTGATACCGTGTGATTGCTGTATCCACAGCATAATATTACCACAGTGATATTTTTGAGCGACTAATTAGACAGTCACCAGTCTACCAGAGGGTATTTTATCCATTTAAGTTGTGAGTTTGTTTCCATGGCAGCAGGTCAGATCAGTGGTGCAGCCTCCGTCCCATCCTACACCTGCCCGTGGGAGAAAGTTCTGGAAGCACATCCCGAGGCAGGGCGGGCTAGTTAACTGACAGCAGGAGCGCGGGACGGGGTAAGGCGTGGCGGGACGGGGCTCCGTGGGGCGTGTGGCGGGGGTCCTCAGTATGGGGGCGGTATCACGCAACAAGGTCTGCGCTAACAAGGCCAAGCACATGTGACCCGGCGGGGCGTGCCGGGCCCTGCCGGGGCGCGCCCTCGCCTCTCTGTTCTGCCCGCCCCCGGGAGTCTCCCCGGATCCTCCCGCCCCAGCCCTCCCGAGTGGGGTGCGAGGAGAATGGCGGGAGCAGCTGGCGGCACCCAACGGCGTGCTCTGCTGCAGCGGCAGGGGCGCGCGCGGCCGGACCAAACTTTCGCGCACGCCCACACGACCTTTTCTTCGCTTTCCGCTTCCACCCGCAAATAACGAGTTCTTCCGACCGGCTTCAAATCACCGATGAAAAGTGAAAAGGCGTAAGTCTTCGGACTTCCCATTGGACTTACGCCCTTTTCACTTTTTACCGGTGAAATGATGGTCGGAGCGCGTTGCCCCGCGCGCGGGTGCGTGCACCGAGGTCAATAGCGGGCCTCCAACGCCACACTGTTTGGCCGGTTGATTGCATTTCGCGGCCATGGAGCCGGGGAAACCGCAGGGGAAATTGCGTGCGGGTGGGCCTCCGAGTGGGGGGGGGGGCGACACGGGGGAGGTTTGTGACAGAACGCTCACCGCGTGAGTGAAGGGCGCAGGGCGGGGTGGGGACGGGGAGGTGCGCGACAACGTGACACGGGGTGCTGCTCACCGCGAGCGCAGCAGCCCGCCGCAGCCCCGGCCGGGTAGTTAAGTGCAGGGAAGCGGGTGCACTGTGTGCGCTG